GCCGCTCGGTTCGGCTATTATCGGCTACAGCTATAGCCGGCTATAGCCGGCTATAGCCGTAGCCGATTCCATCCCTACGTGGGATTACTAAAATTTAATACAATTTAATACGAAAAAGCTTTTGTGCTCTCAACTAGAGGTTTTAAATTTTGCGAGTATCTAGTTTACAGTTTTTTCGGATTAATACTAATACTAACAGCTTTGTTTTATTCAACAAATTTTCTTATTATGATCTTGCAACCCTACCAATCTCTCCAGTGTCAGATTATATCGATATGGCCATTTTTGTCAAAATTGTAACCGATAATTTTATCCTATGCATTAATCAAATTTTCATGTTTGTCCTGTTATTAAGATGGTATTTACCTTCTGCATTAGTTATGTTAATTTAGCTTTTTAATTAACATTAAGCAACGCTCTTAAAATTGTAAAACATTGATTTTTCGGATTTACAATATTTGCTTTTATTGTTTAATTATCTAATAATTACAAACTATTTTGTGTAGAGAAAAAATGGCAGATCAAATGTTCCACTGATTTGAATGCGTTCTGTTAGTAATAGTACCATAATAAAATTGCTTTTGCTCTTGCTCTACTCTTAAAATTCAACAAATAAAAGAACAAGGATAAATGCTCAGCAATAGCTGAAAAGAAAACCAAAAATTTATAAAAAATATTAAATCTATAAGCAAATATTAAGAAAAATTCTGTTATACTATGAATTTAGATGGTTGATTTTTAAGTTTTTTTTTTCATGCCGCCCAGATTATTTGATAATCACGATTTTCTCAGAGATTCATATCTACTAACAAATAAAATCAATAAAATTAGTATCCAAAGTGATCAGTAATATAGCAATATGATTAAATTATGTTCATAATTTATTTATTTATTTATAATACGGTACATACATCTAGCTTTATCATCCATTTAATCGTTAACTCGTGATATGTGATCGTTAGTTGAGCTTAGATTCTGATGAGCCTTTCAATTAATTAACGAAATACAATTCTTTACATAATTTACTCATAAAATTACTTTCCGTTATCTGTTGATTTGCAAACATAAAACCTAAATTGTTTTTATTTAGATATGTATTTTTAGAGAATTTAATACGATAAATTTTTAGCCAATTTAATTTTGCAATTCTGTTAATTTCATTTATCGATACTTTTTTTTTATTCATTAGTTTAAATAGTATGCATGCATGAACCAGATCATATCGACTTTTTACTGTGTATGATTAGAAGATATTGTGACTATTTTACGTTATATGGCATCGTCGTGCAGGAGATCTGTAGCAAAAAATTCCTAGTGTTTAACCAGTCGCATTGCTCCGGTTTCTCTTTATTAAGTAATTTTAATTAAGTATTAAATAAATTGATATTTAGTATTTAATTTGATCTGTATTAGGGTGCTCTCAAGCGTCATTCTCGATGTGATTAGCAAGTGATCGCAATAGTGCACAAGTATAATTATATTTACATAAATTTTTATTTGAGAATTCGATATGTAATCTATGACGCAATTGAAATTTTCTCAAGCACCATCTTCGATGTGATTAATTAGTGATCGTAATGGTGCTCATTTATTAAAATCAATCAAAATAAATATTGAAATCAATACTTTAGTGGTTCTTTTATTGTTTGTTAAATCTTACTATCAAAAATGAAAAAAAACGAAAAATGAAAAAACAAAAGCAACCACTAAACAAGAAGTAAATGCTAGTGATCTTTGAAAATATTCTGGTGAAGCATCAACTTCAGCAGTTCCTGTTGCCCCATTTACTGACTTCACCAAATTTAATATGTTGTTTCAACAACAATATCCAGTCTTCTCATTTTTTATGAATCCATTAGTTTTGAATAAACCTGTTGCTAAATACAAAGAAGTATTAATCACTTATTTATTTATAAATACAACTATAATTGTATATATAATAAATTTTTTTTTTTTAATCAAATACATTAAATACTAAACTTGAAACTTTGGAATCAATTTCTAATGATGATTCAATTTCAGATATGAATTTTGTTTCTTCTGAAGTATCAAATAATAAAGTATCCAATAAATGATCTTCATGAAAAACCTGCCTATTAATTGAAGAAGTAGGAAGACAATATAAAGCATTACAAAGAGCAAAAGATTCAAGAGAAAAAGATCATATGTGAAATAATATTATTTCTAACATTCAATTCTTTACTTCAAATTCAATCTTAAAGAAATGTTTAAAACATTCAATATAGCAAAAATAAGAATTCATTTATCAAAATATCCAAATATCAAAGATATTATTAAGAATATTAGTAAAGAGGTTTTATAACAATATTAGAAATTTTTTAATAATATAGAGATTTATTAAAGAATAATCCAAGCATTACTCTATTGATTATCAATAATTTAATTTGTGAAATAAAACATTACAAATCTGATAATACAAATAATGATAATAATAAAATAATATAAATTTTATATTATTTAAATTATTACTATAAAATTTTTTTATTTATTATTTAATAAATTAGGCTGATCTTAAAAAGAAAAAAAATACATATAATGATGATAAAAAAAAATATATTAATAATATTTTAATGTATATTAATAAACAAATTGAATTAATTGTTAAAACTATAAAGCATCAATATTTGCAAATTAATAAAATTTAACAAAAACAATATAGCAAACAAATAGAAATTTTTAAACAGTTTTTTATAAAATTTTAAAAATTAATTATATATATATAATAAGTTATAAAATGCATATATATTATTAAATATATATTATTATTATTTTTTTTTTTTGGAGTTAAGGTGAGGTCATGCCTCAGGTCTGTTTATTCGAACATATTGTTACAGT